GTACACTATACAATCGGTGTCTTTAGGGAGTCAACCCTATATTATGTATGAAATGGAGTAAAAAAAATTATTACACATGATATTACGTTTTATTACACACATTCACAGATTACACAAACTTTCAGTCAGGAGAAAAAACGCCACAAAACAATGCAATATGGACGATACAGCTATACACAGATCATCACTAAATTACTTTCAATATTAATATTTAAGGTTACACTGTAAAAGCTCCCCAGTAGCACAGCGGTATGTCTACGGATATACAACTCTAGAAACCGGGTTTCGATACCCTTGGTGGGCAGAGCACAGATAGTCCATTGTGTAGCTTTGTGCTTAACTTCAAACAAACATATACACTGTAAGGTGCATATTTGACTTTAATATTACTGTAGTTGGAAGTTATATATTCCTGACTGTTGGTATGCAGTTTGTTTATAGTAATATTATGGTCAAGTCAGGGTAGGCATCAATTTAGTGTAACTAAGATCCTAGGAATTACATGCATGTTGAATCAAAACATATCTCGATTATTACGGACTACTACAGATTCTCGCTAAGAGGTTTGTCAAATTGACTGACCTCATAACCATTTTGTACTCATGCATTTTACAGTGTAACATTAAATTTTAATACTGAAAGTTATGTACGAATGATCAATGTATAGCTGTATCATCCCTATATTCTTGTTTTCTTTCTAGCACTGCTATCCATACATCATTTTACATTTGCAAAATGTTTTGTTTACTTGTTATCTTTAGCTTCGAGAAACACCTCTCGTAGCAAACTTGTGTGAGTGAAAGTGTCAGAAGTGATACACTTTATGTAAGTTGCCATGTGCTTTTGCATGTAATTCTCAAGGAACTAAACAGCACACATTAAACACCAGTTGCATCTCGGGAAGGCTTTGCACAAAATAATGTCCTCGTGTTCTGCTCAGTGGTCAATCTCAGATGCATCACTGGTATCATCTCCCTCAACCAACACCTCTTCCAAAGCAGTGTACTGGTTTTCTAAACTTTGATTTTGCTTTGGATACACACTTGCAAATGTTCCAGTTCAGATTTTATAAGGTCTAAGTGTGGCACGAGCTGACCTGTCTTATTCAGTGATCCAGCAGACAGGCCCTTTTTGAAATGTTCAATGTGGGAAGTGAATTTATACTTCCCTCTATTAACTACATATGTAGATGTGTTAGAGTCCTCATATCTTGTAAAAATCGAATTTGTGACATTATCATGTAGGAATAATTTACACATCATTCTTTTAACACTAATCTGGCAGTATAAAATCTGGCTGAAATGTTGGTAGCTTTACTTTATGTTAACATTCAGCCAGCTAAAATTATTACATCCAAAACACTGCAGAAGTGCGAAGGTTTGTGAAAAAATGCCAATAAGCAGTGTTTCATAATAACATTTTAAATTGGTCAAAATTACTTCTCTAAAACTTCTGAAAATATGGATTTAGTTCACATGCCATCATTGTTACTGAGTAAACAGCCAAGAACAAATATTTTTTCATTATAAATACAATAATGAATAAAAATTGTACTATTAAATTCATGAAAATTCAAAACTTAACAAAACTTTCAGTACTTTCAGGAGCTCCAATCAAGTTAAAATGAAGTTTTGAAAGAATCAGGGATTTTAGGTTGTTTTTGGAATTTTTATAATAACCTTGTATTGATTACAGTAATATTTTACTTCAAAATGACTATTATTTTTGTTTACAGAAGTCTAAGCTACAACCTTTAAGATGTAAAAGCCCAATGTTACAAATTGTTTGTTGATTTTTGTGCAAACCTACTTGAGGGCTATCTGTGCTAGCCTTCCCTAATTTTAAAGTAATAAACTAGAGAGAAGACAGTTAGTCAGCACCATTTACTATCAATGCTTGGGCTATTCTTTACCAATGAATAGTGGGATTGATCATCATATTTAACACCCACATGGTTAAAAGATCAAAAATGTTCTGAGGATGGGTTTTGACCTTGCAATCCTCAGATATTGAGTCAAGTTCTCTAACCACCAAAATGTGCCAAGCCCAGAGTTCAAAAACTGTATTACTTATACTTAACAGTAAAAACTATAAAGCTACATAAACTAAAATTCTTATATTTACTTAATCACGAAATGCTTGATAATAGAATACAGATGTATCATAACTCTTGTACACAAATAATCATGCAAAAAAATTAGTTTTTAAATAGAAATAATTTCTTTCACAGCAATTCGGCTAACAAGAGAACCTAGTAATGATCCACAGTTCTGTTCAGCTTCTTTGATTTTATAAACCTGAAAAAAAAAAAACCTGTGAAACACTACAGATCAATTCTTACCACAAATGTTTCAAGTACATCTTAAGTCACATTTAACTCTGCTCAGCAAAGAGTGGTTTGCAAGTGTGGTATCTTAATGTACATTTATAAGTAAAATAAACCACATTTGGCTACATTTCACATAACATAAGCTTTCCAAATATATTTTTTAAAGAATACAATTTTTTATTGGTAATGAAAGCTTGATTATTTCTTGTCCTTCTATAACTTTTTTTCCTCCATATTTCAATAAATATATTATGACAACGTATTCACCATATTGAACTAATTTCATATATATACATTTATATATAAATAATCATAGAGGCAATACCTTTTTTATTTCCTGTTCATTAGTATGCATGTTTAGAGTATCAAGTGAGGCTAGTTTTCCTTTAACTACTGATGATATGGAGTTGACTTTTGTTCCATCTATATCATTGAGTACGAGTACAAGTATAGAGGTATCATTCTCACCAATACCAAAAGTTTTCAATGACTCTGTGATCTGAAAAACAAAACAGAAAAATGATCTCTGTAATTATCAACAACTTAGTGACACCTACCTAAAAAAATGTTATTGTGACAATACATATTTAGAAATATTATCAAACTAACACACTGGTCTAAACTTTAAAACTTTATAAAAATCTAACTTTTAAAAAATGTATTGCTAATATTGTAATAAAATGCAATCAACCAAATACCAATAATTCAAGATTAATAAATATTTAAAACAGTAAAAATATCATCAGACAAGTTTTGAATCTCACAGTAAAAATGATATCATTTATCACAGTTTATAAAAGTTTTTCAAATATTAAAAAAATTCTATTTTTATATTAAGCAAAATATAGTAATATAGTAATTTAATGATTATACTACTAACATTTTTTGAGGGTGACAGATTATACAAAATTTCAGAATAAATTCCTTTTGTCTTTAGCGTTCCCTGTTGTTGACTTAGGACTGCTTTATTGGCTGCAACTAACAACTGGAATGTATCCAACACCTACAGTTAATAAAGAAAATATACATACACAGACAATGAACAAAATTCCAAAATATAATTATATGTAACGTAACTAAACAAAACTACAAACATAAATTATAACTAACTTAAGGTTAGATGTTGTTAGATGAGCAGTCGAAATTTTCTGTTTGATAATTTTGCTAACTCTGTTAGAAAATGAGGCATGGCATCAAATGTTGTTACATTATGTGTATAATGAAATGCTAATCACACAAAATCTGAAACGAATACAGTATAAAACTTGTACAAATTGTGCAGAATGAAATAAATAACTTGTACAAAGCAGGTGAAAGAGGAACATTTGAAGAATCAAATGGCACGTGGTAAAACAAATTCTTAGTTTACAGTAAGTTATGCCTTATGATAAAACTTATCTATTAATGTCTGGTTCATTCTAGAAATGTTTCTAAGTTTAACATTACAGAAAAATTGTAAGTTCCAAAATATTGACTCTAAAGCATATTTACAAATATGTTTTATCTTCAAAAGACAGTAGATACAACACTGTACTTAATGTGAAAGTATGTCCAACATGTTACTGCTTCATGCTTAACAATGGCAGATACAGCAAAACCTAAAGAACATGGTGTCCCTCTAACATAAAAGCATTCACACTGATTGAAATAATTTGTATAAAAATTAAAATACAGAAACATATAATGGACAAAATTATTTGCTATGCTGTAATTTCTCACTGCAAAATGAAAAAAAAAAGTTCACAAAAATAAAAATTCAATGTATAAAAACTTATTAAAAGGTAAAAATTGTTGTACAGCTCCATATCTCAACGCATAAGTTCAGTGAATTGGTGGAAGGGATAGTAAGTTGTCGTAGAAATCAAAATGTGATGAAAGATGATAATTGTTTTCCAACTGGGAAACCGTGACAAATAAAATCTTTTAGAAGACTATTTTAGAAGTATCATTTATGTTAAAGGCTTGAATAGTTCTATAGAAGGTGATATTTCTAAATTTGGTGATGATACTAAAATTCTGAGAAAGGTCATCCTTTTGAAAATGTTTCTTTTACACAAAAAACCTTGACAGCCCAAGTGAACAAGCCAGTGTAGAAAATGGGTTAATATTAAGTGTAAAGTAATACAGTTGTAGCCTATACAAGACTCTGACACCTCACTTAGAATAGTGTGTGTATGTACAGCTTTAATCCCATTACTACAGTAAGGATACCAACATGTTCCAAAAAGAGCCGAGACATTGCCTATTACAATTATGCTTTGGTTTAAGCAGATGAAATTATAAGAAGGAGAAAAATTAGGAAGAGAAGGGAAATTGATTCAGGTGTTAAAAACTAAAACATGTTTGGACAGTCTTCGAAAGAATTGTATATTAGAATGAAGAAGAGTAAAGATTGGAAACACAAGTTCAAATATCAGCAGTTCTCAAGACTTGAATTTCACACTTACATAGTCACAACTTGCAAGCGAATTTTCCATAATGTGTCACAATTTTTGCTACTTGCAATTTTCCGTGAGTGCACATTTGCATGGCGCAAATTTTAATTAAAATATAAAACTGCAAAAATAAATTACTGCACCACTTTAAGCCACTAAAAACCAACCCTTGTTCAATTACAACCATGTAAATATACATGTACTTTATTACATTCATCACAGCACTCCTCAAATCATTTTGCTGCTGTGTGCCCAATATGTGTACCATGTCATCTGAAAACAAGGACTAATGGAAGTTTGTTTACATCTGTAAAAATACAATGGTGAACAAAACAGATTACAACTTTTAAATGTGTCAATTCTAGAAATGAAAGTGATACATAACAGGTGTCATTCAGTGTCACTGTGGCAACAAAAAGCAAATGTTGTCTCTCACAGCATCTGTCAAAGATGGTCAAACGAATCGAGTTGTCGCAAAGATTTGGCAATTACATAGCAATTATTTTTAGTCTTAATGCTTTCAGTTTGTTCTGTCACAGTTACTGTTATTGAGAAACATGTTCACTGATTTCAGTTTCTTTAAAGTTAATAAAAACACTGAAAACATGATGTTATTTTAATTTTCTTTATTGACCTAATACTTACATAACAATACAGACTTTCTACCTTAATTATAATACACTAGCAGAGACCCGCAAATCATTTCCAGTCAAATTAGTATGTTTATCGTAATAGTACTTCTTTAAATATAACATTTCTAGCACAATACAAATGAATTGTAATTGTAGACAACGAAATGTGTAAATCCACTTGTATATAGGCCGTACTTTATAAAACTTTAACTTATGTCGGCCTAAGTTTGATAATAGATAAATTAACACTGTAACCTGTGCAAGTTTTTTTTATTTTAGTTTAGTTAGGACTAAACTTTACTGTACTTAATACTATCGATAAATAAACTTATAATGTTATTCTACGACCTAACATCAAACCTTTTTTAAAAACTTATTAAAGTTTTTAATATT